AGAACAGAATATCAATTCTATACATTACTTTATTAATACTATTAAGTTCATTATCTAATGTATATTTTATTATTCTTTTTTATAATTAGAGCCGATAGCCTGTGTTGCTAGTGCTCAATGTCTTTTTTTAGTCTAAGAATTCATTTCATTAGTCTAAAATTAAAATAATAATAATAATAATAATAAAGCACATTCTGTACGACTGCTTTAACTTTTCCTTGGCTAAAAGTATTGCATTTGGAGCGACTAATCCTATGGACATTCTACAATCAGCTACAGAGCAGAATATCAATACAATATATTACTTTATTAAAATAGTAGGCTGAATATCTACTGTACTTTTATAAATTAGAATCGATAGCCTGTGTTGCTACAGCTCAAAGTTTTTTCCTTTTAGTCTAAGAATTTATATCATTAGTCTAAGATTATAATAATAATAATGATAGTATTATTTCTATGTAATTCACGAAATTTGTAGGCAAACGTAAGCAAGAACTACAAAAAAAAATTGCACTACCAATTTTTTCATTTAAGAAGAAGCTATGTGCGTTATACTTAAAAATGTTAGAAAAGCAAGTATAAGTGATATAAGTGAGTAACCAAAATGCGTTTGGCTTATTATGTAAAGAAACTGTGTAGTGCTTTGGACTTTTTTTTTTTGTCAAATATATTTATTGCTAACCCTCAGGGCATTTTTCTGTTTTTCTTCGTTTTTTTTTTTAATCCTATTGTAATCTTGCTTTGTCCAATTTTGAGTTTTTAGTCATTACCTATTTCTTCATGATCCTTAGTATGAATATCATAGAAAGAAGTGCTTTACACTCGCCGGCTTCCTTAAGATGCTGCTTTCCTTGCCGAGAGAGGAGCGTGAGACTGCATTTGCGCCTTTTTTGACCTTCTCTACAAAAAATAGTGCTCAAAAAATGTAAATATACTTGCAACCTTGTCGGATACAAGTTGGTACAGTTGATTTTTGGATTAAGTTACAATAGTATTATGGTTCCACTTTTTGCCTTGCTGTGAATCGGTCAGTATGGTAGAACAAATTTAAAATATACCTTCTAGTAAAGGGGGTCTTGTTAAAACAATTGAAAACGATTGTGTTCTTATATGTTGTCCGTACTTCTTAAGTTCAGAAAATGCTCAGATGTCAGGCGATTTCGTGATCTTCCACATTTTAAATGAGCTGCATTAAATCAAAATTAGGCCATGCTGATCAATAGGTTTTCCCCCATTTTCCCGAAAAAAAAAATTAAATTGTTCCTGTTCCGATTTCCTACGGCTCCAGCAGCAATTCGGTGATGGACTTTGCAGTCTATTGAATATTTCGCCATTTATTTGTGTGGAATCCATGCATCAACCTTCTTTTTGTACTTTGACTCCTATACAAATGACCTAAAACGGCTTTTTGCTAAACGTCTTCTTCATCAACTAAAAAGTGCCGATCTTTCCCAATTTTTGGAACAACTGCATATTTTCTTATGAATGATTCGTCGATCAGATTTAGGCGTATCCCTATCATCTCAAATATTCTGAACCGAAAGGAATTAATTATTTCCGTGCCGTCAAGTTTCATAAGTCATTTTCACCATAAATTGTAAGAAGTTTTTTACAAATCCATAGGGTTATCGCCTTGATTGCAGTGATATTGTAAAACATTACAGTTTCTGCATTTCATCTCATTTGTAAATAACGACTAAGTCTGGGCTGAATTAATACATGTCATAATGTTCTTCTTCTTCTTCGAATCAGCAAGGGATAATTCATCGTGTAAATAAGAAGCGGTCCATGGTGAACGCGAAGTTCCTCGTGCGAATCTTATTATTATCTCTATACTGCCACTTTCCCAATCTGTCCAATAGAATGTTTGATAGGAGCAATATTACAAAAGATGCGAAACTCTTAAACCCATGTGTAGGAAAAATATTCACCAACTTTCGCAACCGTCTCCAAAAAATGTTTACAGACATATATAGGCTTGGTAGAGCAAATAGTCGGCAATACAATATTGCAAGTGGACGTCATGCCAAATGATGGGATACCCTACCTATAGCAATTTTTAAAGTACGATAAACTTTTTTTGGTATCTTGTTGACATCAAAGGCTGCAAATTTTTTTGCTAGGCTTTTTGAATCATGCAATTTCATGTTATATTGAAATACTTATTTTGCATGCAAGTTCAGCCAAACTATGAATTAATGGTAGTCGAGTGAAACAAGTAAGTAAATTAATAATTTTGGTTACTCTGATAAGGAAACACAATACGACAGAAAGCAGCTTTGATGAGCGCCAAAATTACGTTCCCTTCGCAGCCCTCACGCTTGTCCCTCTAGAAGTGCCATAGTAACATCAACTCAAGACTACGGTAAGCAAACACCACCTAATTTCCTTTTGTAACAACGAGAATGTTTTTATTTTTCTCTCTGATGGTATTTGTTATTTGCTGTTCCACTAAAACGAGAGTTGCAGAATTGTCTTTGTCACAAATGTTCATAAACTTATGTGTAAGTAATGCTTCAACTTGATTTTTTCTTCCCTTTCATTCTCACCCCTAAATCTGAATGTGTCTACGTAACATTTGTAGTGTTCATATTTTTTATGTTTCGCCTTTGCCATATCGTGAGCAATGGCAAGAAACACTCACCGAAGTGTTCATCTCAGAATATTATATATATTTGATCTCTGCCGTCTTTTGTTGAAACTTTCAACGTTGCAGATATGTCTCTACGAAGCAAATGCTGTTAGTGTACATTCATAGATCATCCTTCAAGGCATGGAGTGGTAAAAACTTAAAAACAATCTGTTCGGATATAGCCAAGGGTTTCACCTTGATTGGTTTGGCCTGCTTTGCCGCAATAGCATACGATTCTGTTGTGGGGAAAAAAATGCCGGTAGAAAAATCTTAATGTGCTGGGTATTTAATATTCGTTGCAAAGCGAACGTATCTTCTTTACTTGTTTCCGAATGCTTTTGTGCAAAACAGGAAAGCTTTTAATTAAATGTACATATAAGTGCAAGATATGTCGCGGTATTTTGCATGCTTTATATTTTTGCGAATGTTAATAACCTGGGATGATCTTGAAAATAACTGGATTGAATTTGTCCCTCTTAAAAACGAATCAAAAAACAAGTTTAATGTAACTTTTGACAAAAACATTCATAACAGTTCTATAAACATATCTATTTGTTTAATTTAAAGAATGAGAAAGGCAAACGGAGAGCCATCAATGGTGGTTATTTCAATTCACTGGGTTCGAGTTTGAAGTCAACTATTAGTTTTATTAAGAGTGCAAATAATTTATTGGGGAGAGCCATAAGAAATTGATTACTTTGAAATCTAAAACAATCTCTGCAGTAAATTCATATTTTCCTCCAGCTCAGTTTGCCATTTTTTTTGCAAATTTTCAATTGCCTTCTTATAGAAATTCAGGACTCCTGAAGCAAAATAAAACTCGAGATGCCTGCTTCACGAGCAAAATATGACTCAAGATGCCTCTTTGACAATCTGCTTTTAGGGAAGGTATTGCGATATGATTTGCTTGTGCTTTATATTATATTATCAAAAAGAATCTATTTTTTATCTTCGACAACGATTACTCTAAGAAATGAATCTTGGCACAATCTGGAAAGCAATAAAGTGCAAGTTGAGCGACGAATATTCCTTATGTGCTTATACACGTATATTGCTTGTAGAGCTTTCCAATTCCGTGTGTCTTTATTTAATTGACTAGTTGGATTCAAGGGTTCTCGATAATTCTTCTACATTTAGTCTCCACTAGATATTTAAGGGTGTCATTGTTAAATTCAATTGGTCGCGAAATCCGAGGGCTCTCAGAGAGATCATAATCATCGGTAACAAACTTTATGAACCACTGGGCGACTTTGAAGACATCTCCATAAACATCGTCAAGTCTCTTCTACTACATGGTACTAATAAAGTTCTAGCAGAATTTGGCCTAATTTTGAAAAGAAACACCACGGAGATGCTCCTTGATTTTTATTCTGCTTGCCTATTTCTCTCAAGTGAATTCCCTGTTCATCTTTAATGGAATGACATGAATATTCCTTTGGTTGAATTCGTCTGTGGCTCAATTGCTTTATGCCGACTCGTAACAACTTTTTGACAAAGTCTTTTCTGCAACATGAACCGTAAAGTTTTTTAATGGAGTCAGTCAATCGGCGGTAGAAATGTTGCATCTAACCTGGCAGTGTATCCGTATCTCTTCATTACCGCCGCTGTTCTATTAAATCCCACATGAGAATGAAAATGTTTGCAATGATCTAAATCGCCATTTTGTTAGAGCGTTGGACAAAAACATCAGGTCCTTTAGAATATTTTGAATACTATGTGCTTTACCGACAGACAACATTAGATCCCGTCTCTATTTGAATTTCTTATTGTTAATCGAATTATTGTGTGGTATGAATAGAAATGTTGCGCTATTTTTTCTACCTACATTTTGTGATTGAAACAATCATGTAAAGGAATCGAGAGGAGAATAAATATTGGGATACGGAGAAAATCGATTAATTTTGAAAGTTACACTAACCATGTGCAACAAATCACAAAAAGATCATTCGTTCCCAACTCTGTAGTGCTCATCCATCGAGTAGTGCAAATAATATATACGCTCTCTTTATTGTATCTTAGCACAACTTGAAGCAGCTGGTCACCTTAAATATTGTTAATATCGAAATATGTGTACACGAAAGATATTTCTGGCCAAGTCAGTCTGTCGCTAACAACAGCAACATCAGTTATACGACGACTGTTAAGCTCATAAGTGATTTAAGTGATTGAAGTGGGAAAATAAAAGTTAATACTTTAAACTTTATTTCCCTTTTATCGAGTATTAAATTAAGTAAAAAAAATTATAGTGATCGAGACAACTTATTTATGGCATGAAAGCCTAAGCGTGCATGTGCGTGTACGTGTGTTTTTTCTTTAGTGGTCTTTCGCATTGAAAATAAACATTGAATGGTGAAGATTAGTATTTAGAGAGTAGAATGAGAAAAATAAATAAAGCAAAACACAAATAAAAAAAAAAAACAAATGAATAATAAATATAATGAATAGAAGCTCGTGATTTTACCGTTAATAAAGCATTGATGATAGACAAAACAAAATCGAAAACAAATAATTCGTCAGAAATATTTTCTCTAATGATTTATTATTTAATTTAATTTGAAGTGTATAAGCGTGTGTGTGTGTGTGTGTATGAATTTTTAAAATATTTGAAAAATCATTGGAGTTGATTACATTGAATAAGACATAAAAATAAATTGTAGACAACAAATTGTAAAAAAATGACAAATTAACGATAGAAACCATCGAAAAACAACGAGAACAACAAATCATTCAGTCATATCTGCTGCTCATGCGTAGCACATTAAATAAATCTTGTGGAGTTCAATACTTAACAAATTTGTGTTGCAAGGAGCACGCAACTTTGCCATAAGATTCATTACAGTGCAAAATTGGCGAACATGTATATGTTTTTATTTCGGTCGGTTTTTTTATTGTTGTTAATTGATTAAGCCTAAAATTTCCAAGGATGGACTTATTTTATCCATATTATCTTTTATGTCTTAGAGACAGCCAAAGACCAAAGTTAAGTGCGATCATCAAGTCAACTTCCGCTGATTCAAATCGCAATACGGTAGAGTTCACTTTGGTCGTAGCTATGTTGAGTGCTTAATCGGTGAAGGCATAACAAAGGCATAATACTTGACCGATTGGAAACACACGCGTCAGGCTGCGGTCACCACCATTCCCTTACTTCTTGCTCTTTCTTCATTTCTTTCTTACCGTATTGTAGACATATATATATATATATATATATATTATATATATGTGGCCAGCATGTTTTCATTAATAAATGATGCTTTATAGCAAATAACAATCGAACATTGTTGATTGATGAATGATTGATAGTTTGAAGATTTACTAGAATCCTTCATAGGGACGCAGAGTCAAATTATAGCGGATAGAAGGCAAGAATGTGTTAGACGATAGAGATCTCGTCAAGCTCATCTTTCCTTGAGCAAAGTAAACGGTTGTATACGTATTTCTCTCTGCAGTGTAGAAGTGAACTTCGTTTTTTTTTTTTTTTTGAAAGTTCGCTCAACTTTACACGCATTGCATTGAAGCACACTCTTGCAATTATGAAGTTACCCTGTTTGTGCATTCATTTACAGGACGTGCGAGTTGAGTCTTTGCATTCAAAATAATCACACACACAAGTGAAACGCCAATGCAAGTCACCTCTTTGGTTTGCTTTCTCTGACACGTACAAAAGAGTGTGTGTATAGCTTACGCAATATGCATTTTTTTAAATCATTATTTTTACACGTGAGAGCTATTGAGCGCAAAAAAAAACGATATTATGAAATGTCAAAGTAAAAGTGCAACTTTGGCATGCATTCAATGTCATTCACGCAAAGCATCTGAAATCTTGTTTCCCTCCACTACCGCAATCATAATCTTACATCAAAATTGAGTCTTGAGCAAATGATGGGAGTAATTCAAATCCGTTTCTAGTAAGAGAGAAGGTATACAGTGCTTGAATTGCAACGTCTAAGGTTTTTTTTTTTATATTTTTAATAATCGCATAAATCAGAATCTGGACGTTGTTGCAGTTCGTCAAGTTAATTAAATTGATGAAATTTATTCAAAAAAAAAAAAAAAATATAGACGATTTTGAAGCTTTATTTTAATGTAGTCACGCCGTTTATGTAACTGTGTATAAAATAAATTATAATCAACATTCGAGTGGCTGTATTTCTACAAATACACCCAACAACACTTAAAGGGGACAGACCGATCATTGTAAATTTTTGAAAAAATCAATATTTTCTTTTATTGATTTAACAGCATAAAAGATAATTGTAGGCGTGTGACAAAATTTTACATCATAAAAAAATTTAATTTTTGTTACGTAAATGTGTGACAGTATACGGACACTTGAAACTGTAAGGAAATTTTTTTCGAAAACGGCAGGCAGCGTAACTTGCACAATTTTTATTTTTTTCAAATAAATCCTTAATGAAGTACGTATGAAGTACCTAAGATTATCTTATAAAATAATTTAAACATATTTTTACGCTATACAACTCATTGTATAAGGGCATCCTAAGTTTGTGGGTATGAATGCAACACTCAGAACGATTTGAGATACATCTATTCATTTCACTATCTATTCAGAATTATTTTCTGATTGTTGATCTGTCCGTCTTTTCTTTCGTTCACCCTAGAAGTTGAAATTGTTGGATATTTTAATGATAATTTGCGGCACCGATAGGTTTTGGACCAAGGGCGAACGCTACTGAAAATGGTTCGGATCGGTCCACGTTTTCGTCTCCCACTTATATAACACCTTGTTTTGAAAATTACCGGAGGGTGATGCAGTGTATTTTTTGATGGACCGAGTCCCACTAAAATGCGTTGTCATTTGTTTATTAATAAAAAGGGTTCCCTGTTTTTGGTTAAAAAGAGAAAGTTTGGTTCATTGAAATAGTCAGTGCCACTAAAACGAACTACGTATTTCGCTAGACATCGTGATATAGATTAAAGGAGTTTTCTATTATTTCAATTTGCTGCAATACAAAAAACCTGACCTTAGAACAATAAACATATATTAGAAAGTTAAAACAAAATTATTGCACAAATTATAATACAAATGCAATAAAGAAAAAAAAGGCAAAAAATAATACAAATGTAAAGAGATCAAAATAAAAAAAATTGCAAAAAAAACGTCCTAAAGAAGCAGCTACAGCAACACGGCAACATTAAAAGTTGGCTTTTTTTTCTCTTGTTCTTCTTTTATTTTTTAAAATTCGCATTTGGACCAGTGATGCTGCTTGTCCCAGAACTTTCTAAATTAGTAATCATCATCGCAAAAATAGCTTTAGTTGTACCTTTTTTTAAGATCTTCCAAAACCGTTTTTTTTTTTTTTGGATACTTTAATATGAGCCTGCCTTATAACCTCCCCAAATATTATTATTCTATTACCTTTTCTTCCACCCAAACAAAATTGCCAAAATAGCCCTTTAATTTGGTTGCTACACTCGTCGACCCTTTAATTAATCAAAGCGATAGTGATATTATCTGCAAAAGTTAAAGTCAGATAGTGCAAGAAACTATCAAAAATTGTTTCACAAAACGATATAATGTGGTTACGTATGACCACAAACGCAAACATCATACGATGAAGAATAAAGAGGGTTGAAAAGAAATGTAAGGCAGCCACAGAATGAATCTTCCTTCGTTTTCTACTACCAGCTTCAGAATACTTTCCAGGTACTTTGGATGATATGTAATACTAATCTTTATTAGTTTGATTCGCCACTGAATTCTATACACGTTATCCAAAGTGCTGTTCTACGGATACCTCGTTACCATCGCGGCTTTGTCTCTCATTTTAGGCAGATTTTCCTATAAAGACACTCCGTGTACTTGCACGATTTAGTGAAGTGAATTATTATTTTTTGGTATTTTCCGTTTGCTGGAAATGCACCTGTTCCTTTCTTTGGCTTTATATATTAGTTTGGGGAAAACGAAATCCATTATTTGTATATGAACTTCAAGACTTTATTTAACATGCTCCGGATTGTCCGATTTGGGTCAAATATGCACCGTTTTGTTGTACGATTTGTTACCATTTTAAAGGTAACTTCAAAATGCCTCTCTCATAGAAGTCCTCGTCTCTATTTGCAAAAAACTCTAGTAGTTGATTTTCACAATCCTCACTAGATTCCAATTTTTTATCATTAAAGAAATTTTGCAATGCAAGAAAAAGATGATAATCGCTTGGTGCCAAGTCCGGACTGTATGCCGGATGCATTAAAACTTCCCAACCAAGCTCCCGAAGTTTCTGGCGAGTCACTGCAGATGTGTGTGGCCTAGCGTTGTCCTGGTGGAACACGACACCTCTCCTGTTGGCCAATTCTGGCCGTTTCTGGTCAATCGCTATCTTCAAACGGTCCAGTTGTTGACAGTAGAGATCAGAATTTAGCGTTTGGCCTTATGGAAGCAACTCATAATAAATAATCCCCTTCCAGTCCCACCAAATGCATAGCAAAACCTTCCTGGCCGTTTGAGGTGCTTCACCGCTCTTTGACCACGATCGTTTTCGCACAGGGTTATCGTCTGTGATCCATTTCTCATCTCCAGTCACCATCCGTTTAAGAAATGGGTCTATCTCATTCCGTTTGGCCAAGGCTTCGCAGATGGAAATTCGATCCATCATGTTTTTTTCTGTTAATTGCTGTGGCACCCAAACATCGAGCTTCTTTTTGAATCCAGCTTTGTGTAAATGGTTTAAAACTGTTTTATGGTCGATTTTTAGTTCTTGGGCGATGTTACGACTGCTAACATGCCGGTCAACTTCGATCATTTCTCCGATTTTATCGACATTTTCGACGATCGGCCTACCTGTGCGAGGTGCATCTTTAACATCAAAAATTCCTGAACGGAATCTACGAAACTAAAATTGCACATAATTGGCTGTTACAGTATCGGAACCATAAACACCATTCACAATTTTAGCCGCCTGGCTTGCATTTTCGCCTTTGTCAAAGAAAAACTGTAAAATGTACCGAATTTTCTCTTTGTTCACTTCCATTTTTAACACGCTGTAACTCACAACTGAATGCACCAAACAAAAAACAGCAGGAGAATTTTTTTCACTGCGAAATGTCACCTTTCCAACGAGCATAAATCTGAAATTGTTTGATCGATACTTTACGAGAAATCTATCAGTGCAGCTATCTACCGAAAAAATAATGGATTTCTTTTTCCCCGACCTAATATATAAGCCTGAAATAATTAATTAAAAATCACTTATTAAGTAAAAAGGCTTTAGAGGGTATTTACAATTCAAGTTAAATCGAATATAGATTTGTCACCGGTTTCTTAATGTGTTGATAAATTTTAAAGTAATGACTTGTCATTAATTGATAAAAAACAAAAACACATTTTCGAAAGTATTATCATGTGCTAAATGCTAAATGATTAAGGTCGTTATTGACAGCTGGTTTTGAATCTTTCTATCATATTGCATTGAGCACTGCACTGCAAACAGATATTGATTTGAATTTACTTTAACGAAATTGCGAAACAATTGGACACTTTTTTGCGAAACTAAGAAAGCTTTCACTGAGAGAGAAGATCTTCGACAAGCATTTATAAACAAACCATTTGGTTGCGTCTCGGTTTATTTTCAATTTATAAACAACCATTTGGTTGCGTCTCGGTTTATTTTCAATTTATAAACAAACCGTAAAATAAGAGAGCAATATGAAAAAAAAATAGAAAGACAATGTTGAGGAAAAATTTAGAAGAGGAATTGAAGGGTTATAAAAATGTAGTTTAAATAAAATAAATAAAAATAATTTAGTTAGATTATTGTTCAAGTTGTTTGATTATTTGCGTTCTGCTTCTTCTTCTTCGTATATATTTGCATGTATATTCATTCCTGTTCACGTGCCGATGATAGAACATATGCA